CCCTCCCTGCTGACTCTAAGGGCTGTGAGGTCAGATGTGGATCAGGTTTCAGCACTTGTCCAGAGGCTTGGTGCTGTGTCCAGGTGTAAAGGGGGCTCTAGAACTTGCTGGAGGAAGGTATCCAGGCCTGAGCTGGATAGAATGTCTCACATACATGGGAGAGAACATCTCCACCACATGAACAAGAAACCTGCCTTTCATTGTCTAGGATCCTCTTTTAGGAGGTCTGCTTCTTAGATTTACCCCTAGTTAGTGCTGGAGAATCTACCAAATGCCCAACCCTGTTCCAGAACCTGGAATCCAGCAAAGAGCAGTATCATGGACTGGGATTGGAAGTGTGGCTTAGGTTTTAAAAATGCTAACTGCATTGACAGTGGACCTGAGTTCATTTCCAAACATCAAGAAAGTGCTCTTCACAACCTCCTGGAACTCTTGATCCATGGGATTTGATGTCCTCTCCTAGATACACCTCCAATCTATTGGCATGTACTATACACACACAAACATACCCATTAGTAAAAACTAAAACTAAACCATAAACCACTGCCCTCTGTCAAAAACAAGTTTGGGTAACAGTGAAGGTGTCATACAAGCCCAGCAGCAGTTTGTGTTAGTCTGCTTTTCAATTACTGTGACAAATATCCATGAAGAAATTCAACTTGAGGAAAAAGAAGTTTTCTTCATGTGACAACTCCCAGGTCATGTTCTATCACTGAGGTAGTTAGAGCAGGAACTCAAGGGAGGAACTTGAAACTGGAACTTAAATAAAATCCTTGGAGAATGCTGCTTATTGGCTTGTTCAGACTCCACTGGACACAATACAGGATCAAATTTCCAGCCCTTTGCAGCATGAAGAATGAGTTAGGCCATTCTACACGAATCATTAATCAAGAAAATGTCCTATGGATTTGACTGCAGGCAATCTGGTGGAAGCATTTTATCAATTGGGGTTCCTCCTTCCAGATCATTTAGCTTGGGTCAAATAAACAAAACTAACTGGAAGTAGGGACATAGCTCCAATGATAATATCCCCTGTAGAGTCAACTGTCTGCTCACTTGGTCACTACTGATGGTGCTCTTGGAAAACTTTTAAAGCTTCCTGAATAAGAGCCTAGCTGGACGAATCCTTCACATCCTGAAAATCTTTTCTCACAGCTGACAGCTCACCTTCACAGTAAGGCTATGCTAAACACTCAATAAAACACTCACCCAACCTGTCCCATGACCAGGTGGTGCATCACCAATAGCCTGCCACTGTCTCCTCCTGTATGAACACTGTCCTTTGTGACTCTAGAGAGTGTCTCTCTCCTTTTTCCACATAACATGTGCAACTGAAGGCTGCTTTGCAGTCTGAGACTGCTTGTAGTTCTCCAGTGGTTTCTACATGGAAACATTTCCTATTTCTCAGTGATAACCCTCAACAAATGTCAGTTAGATTCCATGATCACTGCAGAGTCCAGTTTTCCACTGGGAGAGTGTAGTTGAGTTAAGGCAGAAATGCAGATTATGGGATGGTGAACACCAGCCTGTCTGAGCCCTTGGTCCTCTGTGCAGAGACTCTTTCCCTCTCAAACTCGGAACTCACATAGATGGTTTTGGGTCAAAGATACAGGTCCAGGAGTAGCAGCTGAAAAGTGTGGGGTCAGGGGGTCCCTCCTGCTTTATAAGTGGAGTCTGAATCAGTGCTGGTCTCTCTTCACTTTAGGACCCTGATCTGGTTTAGGCTGATGGACTTCTCTAAGAATCATCAATAGAAGAGAGAAAAGGAATAATATTAGTCATGTAAGGAAAAGAAGAACTCCTGGAAATCATGAATCCCTACAACCCAACTCCTAGCCCAGATCTTTGTCTTGGTATCCCTGAAGCAGTGTCTAGAGACAACTTAATTCACCCTGATCCCTGTCCTGGCCTTGGTCAAAATGTTCTTCTGATTCCGAACACAGTGGGCAATATGTCAGCTATGCTAGAGCATTTTGATCTCAATACGTCTACACACATTTAGAAATTATATGAAACTAAATGGTAAACATGCCTATGTGGCTTATATAAATCTATACTGACTGTCATAGGAACTGAGTATTTTGAAAATATTATTTCCTTAGTTTATTGAAGATAATGTCAAATAATAGCAATCTGGGGTCAGAAGTTGTACTTGAGGATCGAAGCACATTTGTACCTATCATTGGGGATATGCAGGGCTTGGGAACTCTGATTTTCATGATTGTCCTTAGGAGACAATCATGTCAGAGACACCACTCCAGTTCTACTAGCAGAACTGAGATCTCAGACACTTTGGGAATTTGTGGCCATTGCTCTAGGTAACTCTCTTTTCCTACCCCCTGTCCTCAGGACCAATGTGCTCCATTCACTGCATTGGAGGCTTTATCTCAGGAGTCATTTCTTTGTCAGAATGGTTTGTGTTCCTAGTAGCATCTTTGAGGCCAGGCCTGGATACTTTGTTGTTGGTGCAGTGTAGCATGAATCTTAAAAGTTCTTATTAATAAAATCAAACCTGAAGCTAGTTATTGGGGTGAACACTGGAAGATCAGAGAGACAGAACAAGCCACAGCTAACTTCACCTGGCCTATTTCTCAGCTGATCCTGTTTCATCAGACTAGGAGCTTCTGAGTCCTTATCCAAGTGGATCTCAGCTGAATTGTGCTGCTCGAAAGCCTGAAAGCTTAACCAGCCAAATGCTTCAAGTTTCTGGTCTTCAACCTTACATATCTTTCCCTTTCTGCTGTCACTCCCTGAGATTAAAGGCGTGAGTCACCATGCTTGGCTGTATCGTTGAACACATAGATTTCTGCCTCTGCAATGCTAGAATTAAAGGCATGTGCTACCACTGCCTATCCTCATGTTTAATATTGTGGCTGTTCTGTCTCTGACCCCAGATAAATTTATTAGGGTGCACAATATTTTGGGGAACACAATACCACCACATTGTAGTGTGAAGACAACCCCAAACTCTCCTCCAGTTTGGACCCTGGTACAAGATATATTAGCCAGGATGTTAGGGTACTATGGATGCTGAAAGGAATCAGCAGGATAGAGAAGAAAGAGAGATGTAAACTCTGCCCACATGTAGAAATGAGAGGACTAGGACACTGATACTTAGAATGCGGGATACGGGGAAGATGAGCTCACATGTCCTCTCTTGGACAGAGGATTGCTGCCATGTCCTGTTGTTGAAGGACTCTGGAGTTTGCTGGGAAATGTGCTCCTGGCCTGAGGCAGGAATCTGTTCCACAGACACAACTGCAGGAAGATCCCCATCACATGCTTCAGAAACCTGACTTTCCTGTCCTGTTCCCCTCTTTAGGGGCTCTGCTCCTAGTACTGCTTAACAAGAGTTAGAGAATCTGCCATGTGCATTTCCTCTGGGATCCAGAGAAGCACACAAGAGACAATGCTCAACTGTGCCTTAGGACCACAAGCACACTCTCCCTTGTTTAATGTTCTATTGGAACTGGAGCAGAATCTGTGCCCCCACCCAGGCATTGTAAAATCGTATCTAGACTGCCAATTAATTTAGTTTTACAGACAATACTATTGATTTTATCTACACTTTACTCTTTTTTTTCTTTTCTTTTTTCTTGGTTTTCTGAGACAGGGTTTCTCTGTGTAGCTTTGCGCCTTACCTGGAACTCACTTGGTAGCCCAGGCTGGCCTCGAACTCACAGAGATCTGCCGGGCTCTGCCTCCCGAGTGCTGGGATCAAAGGTGTGCGCCACCAACGCCCGTCTACACCTTTACTCTTAATCTCTCCTCTCCTACCCTCTCTGTAGATAGGTTTTAACATAGGATTCTTTATTTCAATTTGAAGGGTTTCCATTTTCATTGAAAGTGATTGAGTGCTCTAAAATCTTATGCGTATGCTTTATGTAACTACTATGAAATCCTCTAGAGACTTAAGCAGTTCATCCTCAGATATTGCCCAATTTATATATTTATATATTTGTATATTTATATATTTATATATTCCACTTCTCTTTCTTTACCTACTTCCTGTCTGAAATTCAAATACTTAGTTGAGATTTCTGTAGAATGGCATTAACATAGTCATCTTTGTCCATCCCTTATAATATTACTTTTTTAATTCATTCATTTATTTATTAGATTTTAATGACCTCCATTAGAGACAGGGTCTCTGTGTATAACCCAGGTTGATCTTGAAGAGTCAAAAACTTCTCTTGGCAGAGCTCCTCCTGCTGGTATTACTGGCATATTATAGCCCCTAGAGCTGTCAGAAACCAGGCTTGGACTCTAACTAATTTGGTGAGAACACCACACACATAATTTGGACAATGACAAAACATTCCCTACTTGTGTCAGTGAATGTCCGATACAGAAGACAATGACACCTGACACAAATACAGAATTGAGAACAAATGTAATTCCTTTAGAAGCATGAACCTAAAGATCTCTTAACGGAATATCAGACTCAAGCCTGAACAGGCTGACCGCCATCATGAAAGAACAGCACAGACACTGGACACAGCCTAAGAAAGGCCTGAGATCCTTTGTTCACAGGTCCTGGTGAACAGGTTTATTGAGAGAAAAGGGATGAGGAGCTAGCAAGATGACACAGGAGGGAAGGGAATATGTGAGAGCCCAGGGTGGAAGGATCAACAATTGTGCACACACCTGCCTCACGTGTCTCCACACAGCCTTCAACTTCAGGAGAGGTAATGGAGTTAGCACAGCACACATGATTCCATAAGGTTAGGAGACTTTATTTTCTCTATCAGGTTTCATGCATTGTTAGTTCAGCAAATCAAATACCCACTCTGAAGGAAGCACAACCATAAAAATGCTTAATTTCAAAAAAAAATGAATGAAGTTGTAGCTCAGAGGAAACTAAAGACAGGCATGGAGGTTTGCCAGCCCAGGCTCTGTTGGAGCAGCAATGATGACTGGGGAAGGAATAGTGATCAGTGTGTAGATGGGACTTATTGCTGCTCAGGGCAGGGCTGAACTCATCACCTATTTACACTCTGCTTTCAGGAGACAGACACATAGTCACAGTCAGATGCAGGAAGAGAAGTCATCAGTTCTTGAAGCCACAGTGGGAAAAGAGAAAACAGAATAAATCCTGTTAGGCTCAGTCCAGCTCTCTTATCCTGTAAAAGAGAAAAACAAGCAAGAAATTCAGATCAGTGTCTTCAATGGTGACATTCAGAACATCTCATCACACACTCAGACTGTCCCAATCCCAGGAGTGAACACAACCCAAAGTTCTATCCTCTGACCTCTCCCTGTCCCACACCAGGCTCTTTAGGGTGTCACTTTTTAAAGCTGAAACAGAAGGCTGGACATTACAGAAACTTTACCTCCCAGTGGAAAGTGATACAAGAGCAGACCAAAGCCTCTGAAGATGGCACTAAATGAGGAAGTACGGGCTGCCTGAGAACCTCCATGGCTCCTGTATACACTGCCAAGAGTGTCTCAGGGAAGAGACCCTAGTACAATGGCTGGCAAGTCTGAACAAGGCTGCCTCACCATTTACCCTTGGAAATAATCCCTTTTACTAGAGGTCATGGAAGCAACAGGATTAAGAAGCCTAGAGGTATCTCCTGGTCCTTATCAGAGAAGTTTCTAGAACTGTGACTACAGATCCAGAGAAAGATGGGGAAACCTGATAGTAGATTGAACATGAGGAGGACGAATTGGACTGGATATGTGTTCTAAGTAGGGACCTTTGCATCTGACCTCTGACAGCTGAGGATCAGGTTTCTGCAACCTCTATCACTGCAGTGAAGAATCTGTTCATTATTTCCTTCAAAATAGAGTTAATGTCAGCACATCAGCACAAGACTGAATAAGCAACTGTGTGGAGGAGTCTTTGCTCTCCTGTGGCAGGGCACACTCTCAGCTGGACTTGATATTCCCATGGAGACTTGAACTCAGACCCTGCCCTTTCCTTACCTTTAGTCCTCCTCTTCCATATCAGAAAAGTCACCACAGCTCCCACAAGCACAGCTCCAAGAACCAGGCCAGTAACAATTGGCATGATGAGGACAGAGGGCTGAGGAGGCTCTGACAGAGAATGGAAAGAACAGTAAGGTCTCTGACCTTCAGGTTCAGTCATGACCCTAGTCCAGTTTGGCCAAAGGACACCCACTCATGTGACAGGCTCAGTGATCACACCTACATCTTACCCCATCTCACAGTAATAGGCTCAGGCAGCCCCTCATGGTACACATGGCATGTGTATGTCTGCTCCTTCCCGTAAGGCACCACCACAGCTGCCCACTTCTGGAAGGTTCCATCTCCTGCAGGTCTGGTCTCTATCACATCCATGTCCATAGTCTGGTTGCTCCCATCTCTCTGCCAGGTTATGTTGATTTTAGTATGATAGAATTTCATAGCCCAGCACCTTAGAGTAATTTTCCCATCATCTCTGACCTCATGGGTCACATGTATTTTTGGGATATCTGATGGGATTAAATTGGAAAATTCAGGCTTTTTCATTCTTCCTGAAGATCCACCAATGTGCATGCAACCTTGTTTTGAATGGGTGGGAGAGTGGCTAGAAGGAGATATTCAGATTCCCACATATCAGCATAATCTCAGAATAAAATGGGGTAATCTATTCCTTGGAAAGATTCAGAATCAGCATCAGCCAGCATAGAGCAGGAGACTTCTGTGAATACGGACTTCTGGTTTTGACTGGATGGTAATTGAGACTCAGCGACACTGGACTCAGACCTCCAAATTACATAGACAGTGAACAGGCATGACAGAGATCATGGTTCACGAGGCAAATGGAAGGGAGATGCTGCTTAATTGACAGAGTTATCTATCCTGAGAGAAGGCTTAGTCCTATCAAAGTCACTCTCTCTTATTGAATTAGGAAACCCATGACACTCTTCCCCCTTTGATTCAAGACTGAGTTAGTCTTCAGCTTCTCACTGAGGAGGAGGAATCCTCAGGGGACAG